GGATAATGCCCGAGGCGATGACGAAGAGGACCCTGGAGTCCACTCAGATACCACCGATACACCAGACATCGTGAAAATCATCTGGAGAAACCAGAGGGGGGGCTCGGGGGCCAACAGGGCGCGGAGGGCCAGGAAGATCCGGGCGCGGGCCACGGGCGGGAACGCCTGGCCGAAGCCGAATGCCGCAAGGAGGGGCATCCGAGACTCCGCGTTGCCCTGCATGGACGCGATCTCACTGGCCGCGCCGAGCTCCAGTATGTGTTCGCCAAAGTTTCGGGCGGGAACGAAGCCTCTTCGGTGTCTGTGAGTGACCAGAGGGAGGCGCTCCGTGAGGGATCTGGAGGCAACTGAAGTGAGGATCTTGATGTCGGCGCTCTTGAGGCCCAGGGGCCTTGTTTGGCTGGCGCGCCCCATGACCCCGACGTCGTCGTCACTCTCGCCTCCCTCAGCAACGAAGACACCCTTGAGTTCGTTGGCCCCATGCAAGAGCCATTTACATGCCAACATCCCGGAAAGCGATTCTTCCGAAACAGTAGCACCAAAAGGGTGAGCTTCCCAGACGTCACATCGCAGCACGTCGGGCTCTGGGGCGCCAGCGCTCAAGTGCCGAAGGCATCGCTCACCATCCCGAATAGTTGGTGGCGGTATGTCGCTAACAGATTCATGAAACCCGAAACGCTCGACTCAGCACTGCGCAGCGGACTTATCGGTGGGCTACTCGCCGAAAACGGGGCCCGAATGCTTCGCCCGCTCGCTTGGCATCTCGCGCGGGTCGGCGACGGCTCGGTCGATGGATGAAGGGTCGGTAGTCGGGCGAATCCCTCTCAGGCACAGTTTGCGGTCGAACGGGGCTCAACGTCGGCATCTCATCTGAAGGCCTGCGAGACGCTGGCGAAGCTTGGAGCGGGAGACCTCGCAATTGTCTTCCTGCAACCGGTGGCTGGCCGTGTCGCGCTCGGTCTGGGACAGTCGGCCGCGCGCGGCATCGGCGGCCTGCTCTAGATCCTCTACATCCCTGTGGAAAATCTCATTGGGCGCCCCGTCGTTGGCCAAAAACTCCCGGCCCAACTCGCGGGCGCGCATCACGCGCTGGGCGAGCTTGATATTCTGCTGCCAAACCGCGCAAGAGATAGTCCTGAGGACGATGAGCTGAGCAAGTGGGTCGTTTGGCTTTCCCTGGACGAGCGAGCACCTGGCAATCCGAGCTGCTTCAATCATGATATCCTTGCTCATCCACGTTCACTTGCGCGGCAGTCTTCCCGATGTTCGCGGCAAACACGGGGCGCTTGAAAACGTCGGAGTGGATGGCACGATCCTCGGCGGGCCCCCCAGGAGCGAAAGCGCACGGGATGGCCGCGTGGTCGGAGAGATGCGCGCGGCGAAGGATCTCGGGGAGCCCGTGGGCGCGCGCCCCCGTGAACGACTGATCCAGGCACCACCCTGGAGCGAAAACAAACAAGCGATCGACGCTGCTGGGTGCCCCTCGAGCAGCGCGGCGGCGCGTCGGTTCGTTCAGTTCGATCTCGCACGGCGACCCGAAACGCCGATCCCAAGCCAAGTTCCTCGAACGACGCCAGTCCAGGTTCTGGGAGTGGGTTATTTATATGTGTATATATATATATATATATATATATATACATATATATGAGGGGGGGGCGTTCTTGTCTGCTGCTATCGAAGGGGCACTCGCAACATTGAAGTCGCCACCCGCGACCACGAGGATCTTAGTCGGGTTCTGGAGGGCCAGACCGAGGTCCCGCTGGATAGCCTCTATGATGGAGTCCCTTTGAACACTAGGTAAACCAAAACTGCGAATGTTGAAGTGAGAGACCAGACTCCCGGCCGAGAAACCGATCCGAACATTCAATGCCATCCACTGGACGAACCCGCAGTCCTCCACGGTCGGCAAGGCCCACCCAGCCGACTCCTTAAACTTCGGGATGCAAGCGATCTCGCCGCCAGCAGCGCGCGGAGAGTGAGGAAGAAGTGACGAGCGGGCCTGGATTGGTAGATGCCAGTGGCAGATGGAGTCCTGAATGTCGGCCTCGGCCCCATGGGCCCCCTGGATCCCGAAGAGGTCACCCTGTCCCAAGAGCGTCCGAGGGTACTGGAATTCCCGATCGCGAAGACGTCGAGGGCGGTGGAAGAGGGCCCCTCCTCCTCCTCCTCCTCCTCCTGCCACGGGCTCAGGTCCCGCCACGGGGTTCGCGAGGCAGGCGGCGATCCGCTGGCGGACGATGCCCTCGCTGATGAGGTTGGACTCGGCCCACTCGACGGACTGGGGGGGGCGTCGCCAGGGTTCGGCGAGGCGGCGATGATCGGCCCGCAGCCCACGCTGACCTCGCCTTTGTTCCTGTCGCCGAAGAAGCGCTTCGTGTAGTAGGGGTCGGCGCAAGCACGCCTGATGGCCTTGACCAGCTGCTCCCGCTTGATATGGCATGGGGACTTGTCGGAGTCGAAATAGAGGTCGGTCGAGCAGCCAAACGTGTCGGTGATAGAATGACGGGCCCACTGGCTGTCGCCAGGGCGCTGCGAGCCCAAAATCTGGGCGACTCCCGAGTGGCCTATACAATAGCGCCCCGAACGCGTACATGAATCCTCGTAGATGCGGGGGCACCCTCAAGGGAGACCTCCGAGGAAGAAAGTTTGCTGGTCTCTTGGATCGGTCCAAGGCTCTTCTAGAACCTTTCCATAGTGCAGAGGGTCCGTCTTCTGGACACCAGGATGGTGAAGTCAGGGTCGCGGTTGAAGCCGGAACGATCCACCAGCGACTGTGGTGGGGGCTCCTCGGACCGATGTACTCCCACCAGACGTTGTAGCCCTGCAAACTTATCGTCAATATCGCCAAATTTCTCGCCATGGGCCGCAATATTGGACTCGACAGCTGCCATCCTGCGTTCGACCTGCTCGCCCAGCGACCTGCACGACGCACTGATGGTGGTGGCGAAGTTGCCTACGGTCGTGGATACCGAGTTAGCATTGTCCGTCTTCGCTCGCTCGATGGCCGCCATGAGGGAGCCCTTGGTGTTGTCGACGTCAGCTTTGATGTCACAGTC